TTTTTTTTGAGACGGAGTTTCACTCTTGCTACCCAGGCTAGAGTGCAATGGCGCGATCTCGGCTCACCGCAACCTCCGCCTCCTGGGTTCAGGCAATTCTCCTGCCTCAGCCTCCTGAGTAGCTGGGATTACAGGCACGCGCCACCATGCCCAGCTAATGTTTTGTAGTTTTAGTAGAGACGGGGTTTCACCATGTTGACCAGGATGGTCTCGATCTCTTGACCTCGTGATCCACCCACCTCGGCCTCCCAAAGTGCTGGGATTACAGGCTTGAGCCACCGCGCCCGGCCTCATTTTGTCTTTTGACAAGAGAAAGGGACTTGCAGCAGGAGGGCCCATTTCCTCTCTGTCCCTAGATCTCCTGTGTATTCGGCAAGAGCTGGGCCAGGCCCAGCGATCACCCTACCACGGTCGGGTGCAACCAAGTGGGACAACAATGTGTCCAGAAGCAAAAGTCTTTTCAGCTTCAATGTAAGCCATTCTGGGTCCCAGACCCACAGCTTCAGGCACTGTTCTTAGATGGCCTCACAGTCTCTGCCCCTGGGTGTGTTACTTCCTTCATATTATATGGCAGAAGAAATCTGTAGTGTAATTAACATTACCAATCAGTTGATCTCCAAGTGGGTCAGTTATCTGGCTGGGCATAATCTAATCACAGGAGCTTAGTCTCCAACAGCAGAAGGGAAGTCAGAGAGATTCTAACCACAAGAAGAACTGAATACTGGCTTTAAAGACGGAGGAAGTGTTACACAGAAAGGACTTGTGAGCAGTTCCTAGGAGTTCAGCAAGAAACCAGGGACCTCAGTCCTGCAGCCACAAGGAAGTGGGTTCTGTCAATAACCGAAGAGAACCTGGAAGTCGATTCTTCCCTAGAGCCTCCGAGTGACAGCCCAGGCTGACCAGCACCTTGATTTTGGCTTCCTGACATCCTAAGCAGAGACCCAGTGAAGCCAGTGAAGCCTGCCCCAGACTTCTTTATTTCATTACTATTTTTCAAAATTATACTTTAAGCTCTGGGGTACATGTGCAGAACATGCGGGTTTGTTACACAGGTGTACACATGCCATGGTGGTTTGCTGCATCCATCCCCCTGTCATCTACATTAGGTATTTCTCCTAATGCTCTCCCTCCCCTATCCCCCAACCCCCTGCTATCCCTCCCCTTGTCCCCCACCCCCCAACAGGCCCTGGTGTGTGATGTTACCCTCCCTGTGTCCATGTGTTATCAATGTTCAACACCCACTTATGAGTGAGTACATGCAGTGTTTGGTTTTCTGTTCTTGTGTTAATTTGCTGAGAATGACAGTTTCCAGCTTTATCCATGTCCCTGCAAAGGACGTGAACTCATCCTTTTTTATGGCTGCATAGTATTCCTTCTAACCTATAGAACCGTGAGCAAATAAATGGCTGCTAGATTTGTGACAATTTGTTATGCAGAAATAATACCTAATGCAGGTGCCCGCACAGTGAAGGTTCCCGGCCTCCGACGTTGTTCCCAGGGGAGGAGGCAGAGGAGGCATTTCTGATTTCCCACAGCCTTGAAGTTGCAGCCTCACCCTGCACTCTGGCTGTGCCCCTCCTCCACAAAGAACCATCCACATCTTTGTTTGCACAGCTTCTGCCAGAGGCCCAAGCTTCTATGCTCAGACCGGGACGTTTGGGCATGAACTTTGCACAGATGAACCAATTGCAGGGGAATCGCACAGCTTCTTACGCCTCATTATCCAGGTTTCTTAGGAGTTTTCTTCTCTGTTAATTGGCCCCTGTATTTCTGCCCAGTTCTGAGGCTGTTGGATCTTCCCATCCTTGGCAAAAGCAAAATCCTTTCTAGCAAGTTACTCAGGCAGGAATCCCCAATTAAAGACCCCGAGTGGCCAGGTGCAGTGGCTCATGCGAGTAATCCCAGCATTTTGGGATGCCAAGGCGGGTGGATAACTTGAGCCTAGGAGTTTGAGACCAACTGGACAACATAGGGAGACCCTGTCTCTACAAAATATTAAAAATAAATTAACTGGGCAGATGGCATGCACCTGTAGTCCCAGCTCTTGGGAGGCTGAGGTAGAAGGATTGCTTGAGCCCAGGAAGCTGAGGTTACGTACACTACGATCGCACCAATGTATTCCAGCCTAGAGACAGAGCAAGACCCTGTTTCAAAAAAAGAAATAAAAAATTTTTAAAAAATTACTTTAAAAGTTCAGGCACAGTGGCTCACACCTGTAATATCAGCACTCCAGGAGGCCAACGTGGGCAGATTCCTGAAATTTCAGAACAGCCTGGGCAGCATAGTGAAACCTCATTCCACAAAAAAAAATATAAAAAATTAGCTGGGTGTGGTGGCTCATGACTGTAATCCCAGCACTTTGGGAGGTCAAGGCAGGCGG